AATATCAACCTGTGGGCTTGGTTTATTCTGAAACGGTTGTTTGGCCTCAATGCAAAGTTGAGGCTGCCTTGATGATTTATTTTTCTGCTTTTTAATTCAAATTTACATAAAAGTACAGAGAACAATGACCGTGTTGTTCCTGTTGCCCAGGTTCAGTCATGATCAGCACATGGCCATCCTGTTTCATCTTCACCCACCCACTCCCCGCCCCGAATTATTCTGAAGCAGATGCTAGATGTCATCGCAGATGCTGTGTTTGTGGTGGCAAAGTAAACCCCAGTCCCGATTGTGAGAGGCTCGCGCTGCCACAGCAGTGCTCACCAGCCATGAGCCCTGCGTCTGGCGCCCTCCCAAGGGGAGTGGCCTGAGGGATTGGGCTGAAACCAGCTCTCCGACATCCCCCAAGGGGTCCCAGATTGCGAGAGGGCACAGGCCAGGCTGAGGGACCCCACCAGACTCCAAGGCGTGTCTGGCCCATCTCACTCAGTCCCAATAGGCCAGACCCCAGCAGCAAGCTAACATACCGGTTGGAGCATATGGTCAGTGCACGTTATAGCGACTGGTCGACCAGCTGACTGTCTGCCCCCTGGTCGTCAGTGCACATCATAGCGAGTGGTTGAGCAGCCTTACCATATCATTAGCATATTACGCTTTAATTGGTTGTTCGGTTGTTCTGCTGTTTGGTCTATTTGCATATTACCCTTTTATTATATAGGATTGAGCAAAAATACAGTCCTCACAAGCCTCTCTCCACCCCAAATTTCCCCTTATTATGAAAAAATCTTGCTCAATTTATGAACCCATATATTATTATTAACTAATGTCCATAGTTTACATCAGGGTTCATGCTCTGCATGTACAAATGTATAATGATATGTGTCCACCATTATAGTATCATACAGACTAGTTTCATTGCCCCCCAAATCCTCTGTGTCCCACCTAGTCAACCTCCCTCCCCAACCCCTGGCAACCACTGACCTTTTTTACTGTCTCCATAGTTTAGTCTCTTCCAGAATGTCATATAGCTGGAATCAAACAGTGTGTAGTCTTTCCAGACTGGCTTCCTTAGCTTAGTCATATGCACTTAAGGTTCCTCCATGACTTCTCCTGGCTTGATGGTTCGTTTCTTTTTAGTGCTGAGTAATATTCCATTGTGTAGATGTGCCACAGTTTATCCATTCACCTATGAAAGGACATCTTAGCTGCTTCCTCTTTTGGACAATTATGAATTAAGGTGCTAATATCTGTGTGCAAACGTACGTTTTCAACTTCTTTGGGTAAATCCTGAGGCGTGCATTTGCTAGACTGTATCACATGGAGAATTTTTAGTGTGACTTGCAAACATTTTTCCTTGGTCAGTGGCTTCAATCAGAAACATTTTTTTATTGAGGTGTAGTGCTCTATAGTTAAGCACACGAATCTGAAGCATATGGTTTGATGAATTTGTACACGTATGATCAAGATGTGGACCATCTCAGCACCCAGAAGGCTCCTTGTGCAGCTTCCCTGTCACCGCCCCTCAACTGTCCAGAAATGGCTACTGACTTCCAGCATAATCGCTGGTTCTGCTGGTCAGGCAGCTCCCACGCTGCCACTATTGAAAGCAGATTTTTTAGGGGAAAAGCGGCCGTTAGTAGCAGCTTGTTTCCTTTTTGGTTTGTTTTGAGTGGAGCCTGATTTCATCACCAAATTGTTCCTGCTGGTCTGGACCAGGGGTTGGCACACTTTCTGGGTAAATATTTTAGCTTTGCAGGCCAGCGGATGAGTGAGCATGGCTGCGTTCCAATAAAACTTTAGTTACGGAGATAGGAAGTGAGCCCAATGGGGCGCTGGGCTGCGTTTGTGAACCCACGTAGAGCAGAGCTTTCAAAGCTTTGAGAGGTTCCATCCAGGCCCGCTCAGCCTGCACCCGCTTGTGTGGGACAGGAGCGTGCACATTTGAAGGCCCCTCAGGAGACTCTCATGCACTTTCCAGGTTGAGATATCTCAGTGTTTCCTTCTAAGGAGGAAGACAGTAGGTGTCCTGGGACCAAGAACTCCACAAATAGCTTTAAATGTAAACAAAAGCCCATTGAGCCTCTTCCCACCTTAACACTTTGATGAAGGTCTCATTTCCCCTTTCACCATCTGTCATTCTTCCCACCTCCTCTACCGAGAGAACAGGCTTCTACGGGCCAGGTGGAGGGGGCGTTGGGGACCCAGTGGAAAACTCTCCATATTAAAGTTGAGGAATGAAGGTGGTTCTTCAGCAAAAGCATCGGGGCAGGGGAATATGGAATCTGGAGTCTTGGGGGAATCCTGAGATGAAAAGTGCCCCCGGGGAATGAGAGGGGGAAAGTTGTGGTCAGAGGGGGAATTTTCCAGTGTGGCTCCTCGAGGTGGAACAGTTTCGAGTGACTCCGAGGGCTGAGATAACAACAGCTCCTTGCAGTTACGGAGCACGGCCTGTGTTTCTAGCACTTCATACTCGCCAGCTCCACTTGATCTGTTCGGTATCCTAGGAAGTGGCTGCTGCTCGCACTCCCATTGTACAGAAGCAGAGACTGAGGCTGAGGGGTTACGTAGCTTAGGGAGGGCTGTGGAGCGACTCTGAGGTTGGAGCCAGGACTGGAACCCTGGCAGTTGGGCACCTCTCAAGGGACGACCAGGTGGGTGCCTGGGAGGGTGGAATTGGAAGCTAGTGGCATTGAGAGGTGGAGGTGGCGTCGGTGTGTGTGTTTGCTCTGCAGCTGCGGAGGTGGCAGGAGAGAATGCTGGCAGGATGGAGGACCCCATGGCAGGGAAGAATGGCCAGGCTTAAGCCATAGCCTTCAAAACTCTCAAAACTAGAAAACTCGCAAAACTAGAAAACTGGTCTGTGGCCACATTAGCGCTAGCTGGGGGCAAAGGCTGGGCAAATTCCAGAGAGAGACTGCATGAGGCTTTGGAGGGTTGTCCAGAGAGCAGCCTGCATAAGACAGGATTAAAGCAATATTTGAAAGTGCAACAGGCATCATTTTCTACTTGCTTTGGGCGTTGTGCGAATAATAGTAATTTGATTGAATGACAATAATAATACCTCCCAACAAAGCAGAACTTTCCAACAATTGGAATTTTTTCTGTGTTTTATTTCAGGAAACCACAGCCTAAAAAGAAAGAAAAAGAAGTGGTGGGCAGGGGATTTATTCAAATACACCAACTTCCAGGTTTTACTGCACACTTGGGTCTCTCTTACATCTTTTAAGTCTATATTGTCCTACAAAGAGGACAGATGTCCCAGTGTGCCTTAAAGGACTCGATTACAAGTTTCAACACAACAAATATTTGCTGAGAATCTTAAAAGTCATGTACTCTTGGGGATATAAAAGTATCTAAAACATGGTTCTGCCTTCGAAGAACTTTCCAATGTGGTAAGATGATTCATTTATCTTCAGCGTGAAGGGGTAAAATTGTATAGACAGTTTATTGAAAATCCTCAATAAGATGAAGGCCAAAAAGGGTATAAGAGATTCCCAAAAGTCTTGTCTTCTGGAACAGTCCAGATTTGGACGGTTTTGATCACATTTAATTCTTTTTTTTTTTTCAATCCTCACCTCAGGATGTTTTTTTTGATTTGAGAGAGAAGCATCGATGGGTTGCCTCCCATATGTGCCCCGTCCAGAGATCAAACCCACAACCTAGGTATGTGCCCTGACTGGGAATCGAACCCATGACCTTTTGGTGTATGGGATGACGCTTCAACCAACTGAGCCACCCAGGGCATCACGTCTAATTCTTAAGTGCCAGGTACTCTGTCCAGGCCGGCCTTTCACCCAGGCTGCCAGGAGAGCCCAGCGTCAAAAAGACACAGATGAGAAACGTTCTGGCGCATGGCTGGTGTTTGGGCACGGGCCCCTGCTTCCTCTGGAACTTCCTCTGGAACATCAGGAGTACGTGCAGAAGTCATAAACTCTGCTTCTGAATCTTCGTCCACATTCCCTTGGGAGTGTGAAACCACCCCACTCTATAGGAGTCCCTCGTTGACTTACTCTGACCCTGCTGCTTTTTGGGAAGTCCCAGCAGGCTCATGCCCTTGCAGGTGTGCTGGCTGCCTCTTTGTCATCCCAGATGTTGCAAGCGGGCAGCTGGCGGGCCAGGATGATATGCGGCTTGCATTATTTTATTAACAGAATTAGTAGCCATCGCTTAAAATCCTATTTGCCATCCAAGTCTGGATTTCTAGCTTCTTGTGAAATGTTGAATCTGGCAGTACAAGGGTAGATGTGCAGAGTGCAGTCCCCTGCCCTGGAGGGAGGCCTGCCCCCCGCCTCCCTAGCAATGGATGGCACTTTCATTGCCATCATCATTGGCCCTGCACTGTTGCTTTCTTGATCTTGATCGAGTGTTTATCTCTACCTGAGCTCTATCAAAAGTGGATTCCTAACAAAATAAATAGAAAGCCATGAGTGTCTTCTCTTCTGCCTGCCCCATGTCTCCCACGGCTGTCGCCTGCCTGACCCCTACAGGCATTTGTTATCTATCTGCTCCGACAAATGTCCCTCGTTATTGGTTACCCTCAGGTCTCTCATCTTCCAGATACACTTTTGAAGCATTTGATGTAGGATGAGCACATTCCCCTTGGTTCTGTGTCTTCTTTTGTGCCTCGGGGCTCAGTGAACAAAACCCGTCTCCCCCTAGGCTCCATTCCATCATTTAAGTCCCACTCGTCATGAGCAATCACGAGTTAGACCTGTCGTTGGCACATCACTCTCATTTCCCTCTATCCAGGAACATGCATTCCCCGATGACTCGAGACAGCACCCATGAGCGGCACGTGGACCCACTGCTCCACGACTGGGTAATAGCCCAACCTTTGTTTTAGGGAACTAGTCACTGCTGCTGCTAGGTGGGAAGGCAGTGAGTGACCACGGTCACACTTCACTTCAAAGGTGACCCAGTTTCAAAGAGGGCAAGTGATGTTTGTCATCAAAAGAGGGGAAAGTACGGGATTCTTCAAGAGGGGAAGAAATTGACTACAGTGCTGACTGTCTCGGGCCTTCTAATTTAGGGCTGCCCGCCCCTGGAGCTGCAGCCCGGCTGAGTTTGGTGTGAAATGTGCCAGGGAGAGCGTGGGAAGTCAGACACCATGGAGTGAGGGGCCTCCTGGGCTCTTTCCTAGGCACCCCTTGGCCACCTTCTTCCACCTGTTCTTCCGAGTGAGCGCCATCGTCACTTACGTGGGCTGCGACTGGTTCAGCAGAAGCTTTGTGGGCTGCTTCGTCACCGTGCTCCTCCTTCTGTCCTTCGACTTCTGGTCTGTGAAGGTGAGGCCCCCCTGTGATGCCGCTGCGCCCGGGTGGTGGCTGTCCTGATGCAGGTGGTCGATTTGAGCGAAGAGGTGCTCTGGCTGGAACTGCTGATACATTCTTAGGAATACGGAGCCGGAGTCACTTAAAATTAGAGGAGAAAATACATTGTTTAGTGTGGAGTAAATGGCTTCAGGATATCACCTGTTGCAAATATGTGCCATGTGAGATGACAACTCCATATGGCTTTGATTTTTAATAACGTTTACATAGAATATACAGAGATTTAAATGTTCTACCTAATGTGGATATATATATATATATATTCGGGGAGTCTGTCACTTTTTAAGGTAAGCTTAATTAAAAATTAGAAGCCTTGAAAACTGACTGAGAAACCACCACAGTCCAGTTCCCCACCTCTCTGCTCCCAGTACAAGTTTAACTTCTGTTTTATTCACCAACAAACAGGTGACGACCTGCCCTTTGCCCAAAGTGCGCTGAGAGTCACTTTGTCCCTTTTCCTAGAACGTAACTGGGAGGCTCATGGTGGGCCTCCGCTGGTGGAACCAGGTCGATGAAGATGGGAAAAGCCACTGGATTTTTGAAGCCAGAAAGGTATTCTCCATGACGAGACGAACCAGCAAGGGGAAAGCGGCTATGGGAAGTGTCCGTGGGTTCTGATCCTGCCCTACCCAGAGTCCACCGGGGCCGGCACCCAGCGCGTAACAGGAGCACATGTAGAATCAATGAACATGACGGCATGAATCACTTTCCCACACAGGTCTCTCCGAACAGCATCGCCGCCACCGAAGCAGAAGCCCGGATCTTCTGGCTCGGCCTCATTATCTGCCCGATCATTTGGATTGTGTTCTTCTTCAGCACCTTGTTTTCCTTGAAGCTAAAGTGGCTGGTAAGGCAACACCCGACTCTGACGTTGCTTTGACATCTGCACACAACCAGGGGTCCCAGGAGTGGATTGTTGTTTATTGACAGATTTATTGAAACAGCTGTATTGAGATAATTCACACACCATGTGGCTCGCCTATATAATGTGTATAACTCAATGGCTTCTAGGTGTTCAGTTGTGCAGCCATCGCCACAATCACTTTCAGGATTTTCACCGCCTGCAAAGACACCCTGTAGCCTTCAGCCATCACTACCTCCCCAGTGCCCCTGTTCACCCAGCCTGACACCCACTCATCTTTGTTTCTATAGGTTTGTCTATTCTGAACATTTCCTATAAGTGGAATCATACAATATGTGGTCTTTTGTGACTGACTTCTTTCACGTAACATAGCATTTTCAAGGTTTATCCATGCTATAGCATGTATCAAGACATCTTTCCTTTTCAGGCTGAATATTCCCTTGTATGGATAGGCCACATTTTATTTATCCCTCCATCCATTGATGGCCGTTTTGGTTGTCTCCACCTTTGGTGTATGAATAATGCTGCTAAGAGAGGAGTTATAGAAAACGCCTATGACATCCTACCTTGGACAGGGAACCCTTCCTAGGTAGGAATAAGCTAGCCTCAGAGTTCTGAAGTTTTATTTCAGAGCTACTGTATTTTGTTGCCATGACCTGTTTCGTTCACTGAGAAAACAAAATATCCATAGACAGTATAAGCAGCAGCGTGATTAGAGGTGTGGACTCTGGAGTTTGGGTCCTGGTTTGGCCTTGCATCAGCTCCTAGACTTTGGGCAACTTTCGTGTCTCTGGGATGATAATGGCACCGACTTCTCAGGTTGGTGATTAAAAGGTGTCCAGGAGTCTTGTACGTGCTCAGTCAAGGTTGGCTGCTACGTCAGGTGCAGGCCAGAGCCACCGCCACTGGGTGTGGGAGGAACATTTCCATCTAAGCTCAGGAGACTGATCTTTGCTTTGTCTGAGCGCAGGCCCTTGTGATAGCGGGGATCTCTCTCCAGGCCGCTAACCTGTATGGCTACATCCTGTGTAAGATGGGAGGCGAGAGTGACATCAGCAAAGCCGCAGCCAGCTTTCTGTCCCAGACGGTGTTCCAGACGGTGAGTGACTGAAGCTCAGGGGGAGGGGCCTGTTGGCAGCTGCAGTGTTGAATGTTTCCTCGTCAGTCAGACTGCCACAGTTAGTCTCTTTAAATTGCGGTGAAATATACACAACATAAAGTTGACCATTTTAACTAGTTATTTTTAATCTTCACCTGAGGGTATTTTTTTCATTGCTTTCTCAGAGAGTGGGAGGGAGAAAAAGAGGGGGGGGGAGAGAGAGAGAGAGAGACACAGACAGACAGACATTGACTGGTTGCCTCCCTCACGCTCCCGAACAGCAAACCAGGTACATGCCCTTGACGGGAATCGAATCTGTGACCCTTCAGTGAGCAGGCTGACGCTCTAACCATGAGAAACGCTGGCCAGGGCCATTTTAACTATTTTCAAGTGTACATTTCAGTCTCATCTAGTACGTTAACATTGTTGTGCGACCATCCATCCCCACCCACCATCTATCTCCAATCTAGAACCTTCCCAAACTGAAACTGTACCCATTAAACAGAAACTCCCTGTTGCCTGATCCCCAGCCCCTGGAATTCACTATTCTACTTTCTGTTCCTATGAATATGACTCCAGGGACCTCACCCAAGTGGAATCATACATCGTTAGTCTTCCATGATTTTAAAAACTGTAGAATTTAGAAGCACAAACAATTTTTTAACCTCACATATAAATGAGGTGAAATAAATGTGACCAGGCTCATCCTGAAGTGGTGTGGACCGTGTTAAATGTTCATACACTACTGTATGCTCTTGGCACATGGTGGGTTTGCCCTGGCCTCGAGTCAGAATCAGGCTGGCACAGGTGGGACCGAAAGCCATGGCTGCCTTTCCTTGCAGGCCTGCCCACGTGACTTTGAGAAGCCTGGCCTCGAGGGGCTGGAGATCCACAAGTGTTAGGTGAGAGGCGGGATCAAGGCAGGGGTCTGGACCGGGGCTGGAGGCTTGTGAGAAGTGCAGCTCCCCCGTGCTCGGCTGTGCCCGTCGCCTGGGCAGCCTACCCAGTGCCCTGAGTGGCCAGGGGCATAGCCAGGTGGGGAACCAGCCTGTGCACTGGGCATCCTGGGCTTTGTGACTGCATCATCCTTTACTGGAGTCCCACCCTCCTCACGTTGGACATGTACAAATTCGACCACATGCAGGCATGAGGGCGAGCAGGGAGGGAAATGAGAAGATGAAAGAACAAGGGAATTTGCCCACCTACCACTTACACTCGGAGTAAGATGGAAAATAGGAATTTACGCTTCCCTCACCGTCTCCATCCCTGTGCATCTCAGAGGGAGCTCTCTTGGCAATGTCCATAATTCTAGAGTTCACCCCTGTCTTTCCTGTGAAATGTCCTGTGTGCCACCGGAAGTTACTGGGGGAGTGTCATGTGACTATACAGGGCCGACACAGACCCCAGTTCGGTTTAGTGGGTGATCTCAGGGCTGCTCAGGGGTGTTCTGACCACGTGCAGCTGCATTGACGCTAATCTCAGAACAAGCCCTGGCTTGAGGCTCCATCAATGTTCCTTTCCCTGATCTGGAGAGTAACTGGACTACTACTAACACCGTGACCGTGTGCTCTGCACCGAAGCCACACCTCATCCCTTTGCTTCCCTTTCAGGCATATCTTCAGAGGCAGCAGTAGCGAGGTGAGGGGTCTGCAGTCAAGCAAGCTCCAGCAGGCATTCCGACCAACAAGCCGCGGGTTTTCAGTGAAGCAGGGACGTTTGAGGAGACGCTTTTATTTTTTAAATGGCACATGTGTAAAGAACGCCCTTTACATGTGATCAAAGAAAACTGTACAAATATCAGATGATTAAAGTGTCTGCAAAAGTGACTTCACACCACACCAGAGTCTGGTCCCTCTCTGCCTTGAGCCCACTCTGTGCCCGAGCGGTCAGGACGCGCTGGCTGTGCTGCTTGCGTCCATGTCCCCCTGTGTTTCAGGAACTAATGAGGTCCTCTCTTCTGGCCGATGGAGGCTACAATACTCCTGGATTCCTGGAAAACAAGGCGGCAGGCAGAGAAACACTGGCAGGTCCTAGTGCCCCGGGCAGCCCTGCCTGCGCCAGCCTGGGCGCTTCCAGGCTGGGGTGGAATCCCCAGATGTTGAACTCCCTAAAAAGCCCCATTTCTGTTGATGCCCCGAATCTTCAGTGACCTGAATCCCACACACTGCCCATCGTGGTGAGAACCACGCTGGAGGCCCGTCCTCGTTCATTCTTCAGAGCCTGGGAGTGATGTTACTTCCCCAACACCACTTCACTAGGCAGAAAGCCCCGCACAAACCAGACTGTAGGCCTTCGACTGTCGCCTTGGCTGCCGGTTGGGAACTGGAGCTGCACGTGAGTTTGGTGTGGCTCACTAGGCTTTGTGTCTTTCTTCTTAATTTTCTTTGGACAGCTTTACCGAGATGCGTTTTCTATGCCGTAAAATCCACCCTCACTGTGTCTTTTACACTATGACTTAGCCCACAATATTGACGTCCTGACAGGTTTCTCAGCGACTCCCGGCCCCTGGGTTGAGGGGGGCGCTCTCCAGGTCATCCCAGACCCCACCCCACTGGCCTGAATGCCCAGCCGAGGCTGTGAGGCAGTGACCACTTATGATCCTCAAGGGTCTCCTCACACCCAGCCCACTCTGCTCGTTTATGTCACCCCCTGGCCCCACAGCCATCTGGATTCACAAGGCTCACATGAACACTTACTTTGAATGATACTTCTGTAGGCTACCGTAGCTGGTGAATCCGGCGTGTCAACCAAAAAAGACCGTCCTTCATCACAACTCTTCCCTTAAAGAAACAAATGAAAGGGAATTAAATCCCTGAAGAAAACCAAGTGGCAACATGGCCTTGGGGCTCTTTCTGTGCCTGTGACATTAGGAAGCTCCTGAACCTGCTGCATTCATAAGGAACAACGCCTCAGAGGACCCCCTGCCTCCCTCCATCCACAGGGGCCCTCCCTGGCCCAGGGTGTTCCGTGTGTGCGCCTACAATTCATCTAGGTGCAATTCATCTGGGTGGTGTGGCAATGCAGGTTCCAGGGCCCCACACAGGACCGATTCAGCAGCTCCTGGGTGGGCCCAGGGACTGAGTTTTCAAAGATTAATTAGTTCTTTTGAGTAAAAAGATAATGAATGCACATGGAGGAAAACGTACCATAAAAGGTGAGGCTGTCAGTGTTTCAGATGTCTTTCTAGAAACTGTATGTACATATATACGTGGCTCGTATATGCACACACACCCATATACTTAAAAAAAATGAATGGCCGCGTATGATACACATGTTCTGCCCACTGCTTTTTCCATGTATATTCGCATCCTGAAGGTCATTCCACATCGGCATCAACCTGTCTGCGAATCTTTCATAAGACTGTCCACCCCGGTGTCCTCCTGTGGATACGCAGATTGCCTCTAGGGCCTCATGTTAACCCAGTGTCCCGGCGAGCAAATGCAGGGGGCCTGCCCCAGTGGGCGCGAGGCCTTCTCGCCTCCTCCACCTGTCTGCCCACCCTCATTCCTGCATAGACCCCTGCAGTCGGCGTTTCTGCCCCTGCCCCCAGATGCTGAGCACCGCTGGAGAAGCAGGCTCAGTGATTCCCCACCCACAGCTGCTCCCCAATCTCAGTGGGCCCTGGTGAGGCCAACCTGGAACTGTCATTTCCTCGACTCCCCCACGGGACAGGGAAACCCGAGCGGGGGAGGAGCCCAGGTGAGGGGGCACAGAGGTGGAGCTCCCATAGGAACGCGTGGAAGCAGCTTGGGAAGCCCGCCAGAGTTCATGGCAGCAGAACCAGGTCTGGGAAGCACAGGTCCCAGAACGGTCCCCTAAGGGACCCTTGTTCATTTCCTAGTGCTCTCCCTGCACCCGGCATCGCCCTGACCAATCTCTCCTCCACTCTTCCAGCCCCACCTCAACCAGCCCTGCTACCTGAGGTCTGCCTGCTCCCCGGCCACCTGCCCGCCTGGTTCACTGCCTCTCTCCGCTGCAGGAGGAGCTCCTGGAGGTGGTCCAAGGGCCGGGCCCCGGTGTATGAAGGCCCCACTGAGCAACGGAACCGGACTTGGAGACTCACCCACCTATGTGCGGGTCCAGGGGCACTTTGCCGAGGAGCGGTATCTTCAGGTCCTGGCACATGGCCTCTGCACCCCCCGTTGTGGGTGGGAATATCTGAGACTCTTTCTGTGAGGCAAAGTAAATGGGGGGAGAATCATGACTTTGTTTCAGAATCACAAGACTGGACCACATTTTAAAGGAAGTTTTCAAAAACGTCCCTTCTGAACGTGAAACACTAACTACCAAAGACTTTCCATTCAGCCAGCAGTGCAGCATTGTCACTGTGATCCCACTTCTGGAAACAACGGGGAAAGCATCCGGTTTCACAGAGACCCGCGGAAGGGGCTGGTCAGCACTCACCTTGCACTTGGGGCAGACGAAGCCGCTCATGTTCTCCACCACCCCGATGATGGGCAGCTTCACCTTGTGACAGAAGCTGATTTCTTTCCGGACATCCTGCAGGGACACCTCCTATCACGGTTCAAAAGACCAGTTGTTTCAAAGTCAAAGTACAAGAAAGAGAATGTGTGTGGTCGAGGGACGGCTGCAATGCAGTGGCTCGCCCTCAGAAAGCTTAGGGAGGTGAGCCGTTTATCCAATGAGTACTTAGTGCCGACCATGTGCTAAGCCCTGGCCTAGGCATTATTCATTTCCCACAAAACCCAGAAAGGATGAACCCGCACAGCCAAACATCAAATATATAATGAATCTACGGAAAAGTGACCTTTTAGCATCTCTCTTTTTTCCCTTTTTATTGGATTTATTGAAGTGACACTAGTTAACAAAATTATACAGGTTCAGGCGTGCAATTCCACAACACATCATCCCTACACTGTATTGTGTGTTCACTACCCTGTCAGGTCTCCTTCCATCACCATGTATCCCCCTACGCCCTCCTCCTCCCCCAACTAGCATGTCCCAATGTTTACTTTCTTTTCAACATACTATGCTGAGCCAAAGTGTGCACTATTTTTCATTCAGAGGTTGGGGAACTAGGCCTGTGTTGAAACCTGGCTGGCTGCCTGTTTGTCAAGTTCTTCTGAAACCCAGCCATGCCCGTTCTTTACATACTGTCTCCAGTAGCTTCCACCCTACAGTGGTCCAGCTGAGTGGCTATGCCAAGGACCACATGATCCCCAAAGGCTAAAATATGTACTATCTGGGCCTTCACAGAAAAAGTTTGCCGACCTCTGATCTAGATTATGATGAAGACAAACAACTTTGTGGACAGAAAGAAAATAAGATCTTTGGATCACTTAAAATTCACTTCTGAACTCTGCATGTATATTTCACAGTGTGAGTACTGAGTATGATCATTGCTTAGTACCCTCCAACCCCCCCACCCCCGTTCCCCGGTTAATGTTGTTGCAGACACGTCCTCAAGTATGGCTACTCCTTAGCACTAAGGTGTGACTGACAGTCACGGCTCCCGAAGGGTCACAGCTCGAGTCGCCTACTCTCCAGAGGCACACGTTTGGCTCTAGGCCTCTGTGAGGCTGGGTGCAGGCATGTAGCTGGAGCGTAAACCAGCTCTGACTGTGCATCTCATTGCGCCTCTGGTTCTCTCCGTGGTGTCCTGTAAAGCCTGCGGTGCCCGATGCGAAGGGCTCTGAGAAAGTGGGTGTCCACAGCCCGAAGTGACATTGTCCAGACAGGCTCTATACAAAGGGCACACGTGGCGCGTGCCTGCTCCCCTGGCTTCCCGGGAAGGGCCAGCACCTGTTGGTCCGTCTCCTCTTCTTGATCCCTCAGGGACTCCATGTTTCCATTCACAACAAATGTGGCAGGAGAAGCCGCCTTTGGGCCAACTAGACTTTTGCTAATAGACTTTCTTTTTAGAGCAGCTTTATGTTCACAGCACACCTGAGCGGGAAGTACAGGGACTTCTCACAGGCCCTTTGCCTCCACACACGGAAAACCTTCCCCACCATCAACATCCCGGGTGGTGCATTCCAGCCAGACTGTTTCCTTCTAGTAATTACATTGGGAACAATCCATCTTCTCTCCACCTCCACCGGGCCAGTGCCCAGGTGGCCTCTAGCCACCCAAGTGGTGTCTTGCTCCTCATGCCCCCGACATCTCTCTGCACAGGGAACCAAAGTGATCCAAAGACATGAATCCTGTCACACCACGGGACAGCATCCTGCGTGTGCCCATATGTGCAGCGCCCACGTTCCTTGGTGACCACATGGGCCATGAGGGGGGACCGGTATGTTTTACTGCCCTGGTGCCCGGCCCAGGGCCTGCATGTAGTGACTGCTCAGTGAGGGCTTGGTGAAGGATGGGGCCGGCTGCCTGATTCAGAGCCAGACCAAGCCTCGTTACCCTGCTTCCTTAGGAGTGGGGAAGAATATTGTGAGAAGCATAACTGAAAAGAACCAGCTGTTGGTTTCTTGGGACGCTTAAGATCAGCGGCAATGAGAAAGCACAACCCAGGCCTGATGCATTCACTGCCTCCGGACTTACCCAGTGGGGGTTCCTCACAGCCCCGTTCACAGCCTCTGTGACTGGTACACGAGGAGCTGGCAAGGCCCGCAGCAGCTTCCCCAGAAATCCCCGCCTATGCCCGGGCTGGTGCTGTGGAAAACTGGGGAGAGTTCCAAACTGTCCTGCAATGCGAGTGAGGGGGCCCTGCAGACTGTGGGCTTGATGCATGAGCGTGGTGAGGGTGAGGTGACCATGGCAGACCATCTGAACTGTAACAGCACCATCGCTCTCGCTGGCTTTGTGAGAGGAAATTAAAAGGCAATTTTGAACTACTGCTGGACCAAAAATACCCAACTGTGGAATGCTTATTTGTCAAACGCAAACATAAACGGGGTTTCTGCAGAGACAAAGCAGGGCTGCTCGTCCCGAAGGGCCCTTGGCAGACCAGGGTCTCGGAGTCTGCGAGGAAGAAAGCTTCTGGGCGGCGCAGTCCCCACCCAGCTCCCTCCGCACTCGGTCACCTGAGGGGTGGTGATGATCACGGCGCCATCGATGCGCGCGGCGGCCAGGTACTGGACGACCGAGAGGTGCTCGTCCGACGTCCCAGGGGGGGTGTCCACGATGAGGTAGTCGACCTCTCCCCAGTCCACATCGCGGAGGAACTGCTTGATCATGCCTGAAGGGAGGGACCGCACTGAGGCCAGGCCTCCCTTTCCCCAGGCTGGGCTGGGGGCTCCACAGAAACAGTCTGTGACCCTCACGCGCACACTCTCAGCCATGGCATCTGGCAACGTCTGGAGACATTGGTGGCTGCCACGCCGAGGGAGGGGGTGCTGCTGGCATCCAGAGCAGAGGCCAGGCTGCCCCTGACATCCCTGGTGTGGAGCACTGTCCACCCCTCCCCTCACTACTACGGCCCCCCATGTCCCAGGGCCGAGTTTGAGGACTCTGCCTAAGCCTCAGTGCCCACTCAAGCTGGTATCGATTTCAGTTCAGACACTTCTCTCTCTGACACAAATAAGCCACTACGAAACCACAATAAATATGGATAATTTCAGGGTTATATAGGTTTTCAGGAGAAAAAAAACCCACAATAGATAATAAAAACTGTAAAACAAAAACTGGTATTTCTTCAACCAGTGACGACAGAGGCAACTGGACGCTTAAAAATCCTGCCGCGGGGTCCCGACAGCAGGGGCGCAGGGGAGCCCGAGCAGTCCTGCCTGGGAGAGCGACAGACAGAGAGCGGGGCACAAACCGTTCTTCTTGGGTCCTCTCCAGATGACAGCGTCGTCGGGGCTGCTGAGTAAGAAACCCACTGACATCACCCCCAGGTTGTCTTCCAGGAACTGGAGAGGATGAGGCAAGAGACATTTTACTTAAAGCCACAGCACAAGGCACTTCCTTATGTCTCGTCTGGCTGAAAAAAACCCTTTGGGGGTAATATTACTGTGCTCTATGAGTACATGCACTCTTTGAACCCTCAAATCATTCTGAGGGCGAAAAGGGTACCATATGGTGGGATGGAAAGAGGTACCATTGGCCCTCAGCCACAATGACAGGCGACTTGGCTGAAATAAATGAGCATCATGTCCTCAACTGGCTGAGCCTGGGCTGGGCTGGGGCCCCTGGGCCACACCGGGCCCACCATCTGCTTTTGTACATGAACTTTCACTGGAATACAGCCATGGTCATTCATTTACATATTCCTGCTTGTGAGCTACAGTGATGGAGAGGGTATGGCCCACAAACAGAAAATGGCCACTGTCTGACTCGACAGAAGCGGTCTGCCAAGCCCTGGTCTTCGTGGAGGCTTGCGCTAGAAACGTGCCCGGGGAAATGCTTGCTGACTGATGCGCAGGCGGGCTGAGAACAGTGTCGCCAGCCACCGCATACCCACTATGCATACATGGCCCAACTCCACTCCGTTGAAAATAAGGCAAAAACGTGAGCACTCACCACTGGAGACCAGCCCGAGCCACTCTGGTGCACCTGTGTGAACACGGGCATCGAGTCACTTGTGAATCCCGCGCCCTGGTCACCCTTCATAGACACATTTTGCGCAGCAAGAAGACAATTTTACAAAATAGAATTAATCTAAAATGCCACTACTTAATGCTTAATAGGAAGTGAACAGCTGGGGGGGGGGGGGGGCCTGGTGCTGGTTAATGAAAGTGATAATTCAATATCCTTTCCCCTGTCAAATTGGGCTGTTTTGAAACTGCTTAGATAACATCTAGTCAGGGAACCCGTTACCCAAGTCAAATATAATTTCGGGTCTGAGGTATTTTCAAAGAGTAACAGAAATTGCCTGTGGGTTACTGAGAAAATGCAGTAACTGTGGAGCAGCGGGGGTGCCCCTCCAAGTCCGGAAGTGAAGAAAGTACTGTGAGTGAGCCAGGTGACACAGCACCGCCCTGCCCGTGGCCTGAGCTTCTGCTGGGGCCTGCTGTCCCCAGGGAGCAAGCACTGGGAGGAAGGTGTCAGGGAGAGGCTCCCTGGGGGACGTCACGATGGACTCTCCGTCATGGGTGCTCATCAATAGCCAGGGCTCAACTTCGCACCACCTGTTCCGAAGCTAGAACTTAAGCAACTCCCAATGACATGTCAATCTTAGAAATCAGAGCAGCGCAGGAGCCAACACGGAAAGTCTGCTTTTCTTAATGAAGTCTTGCTTTCTAAAACAGCTCTCTGGAGACATCAGTCACATAGCGTACAATGCACCTACTGAAAGCGCAGAGTTCAACGGCTTTCAGGATAGTCACATGATCGTACATCCACCACCACAATCAACCCTAGAGGACACCCTGCACCTCTCCCGTCACCCCCAATCCTGACACTTCCCTCCAGAACTAGGTGACCACAGATCTACTGTCTCTGCACGCTGCCTGTTTCAGACAGTCACAGGAGTGCAATCATGTGACATGTGGTCCTTTGTGTCTAGCTTGGAAGTCTCATTAAAAAAACAACAACAACACAACAAAACCATTTGTGCCCTGGCTGGTGTGGCTCAGTCGGTTGGAGTGTCATCCTGTGCACTGAAAAGTTGCTGGTTCAATGCCTGGTCAGGGGACATACTGGGGTTGCAGGCTTGATCCCCGGTAGAGGGTGTGCAGGAGGCAGCCAACTGATGTTTCACTCTCACATCAATGTTTCTCTCTCTCTCTTTCCCTCTTCCATCCCCTCTCTCTAAAAAATAATATATACATATAATAATATGCATATAAAATAATAGATACATATAATAGTATATACATAAAAAAATAAATTCATTCCTACTTATCCAATTTTTAAAAAAAAACCTTCCCAAAGAGCAGCTCCCGTGCCTGCCCTGCTCCATGCTGTCTGCTGCCTCACCCTGCTTTAGTTTTCTATTATCTATCGTCTGTCCCTTCCCATGAGGGCCAGGGTCTGTATCTGCCTTGCTCACCACTGGATCCCAGTACAGAGAACAGTGCCAGCACTTAAATAAGACTAAACCATTCTTGACACTCCCAGCCCAGCCCAGCCCTCCAGCCAGATTCCAGGCACTGCCCAGGGGGAGGGAAGCCTTCCTGGGCTTGCTTCTTGCAGCTCGGAAGGGAGAGACCAGCACCTGCTCAGACCACTGTGGCCCCGCCCCACCCCACGTCACTCTCCCACTTCACAGTCTCAGTTCCCCAGAGGTAACCACAGGGCAGAAATATTCCCTTGCTTCCAGGGTACAAGCCCCCAGCCAACTCTGGTCTGGCTTTCCCAGTCAGCTAAGCTTCCGTGTCTTACTTCTGCATTTTACTTGCTGTTTCCCTTCCCCTCTGAGAAGGCATCGAAACCAACACTTCTTTAATGGTTTAGATGAACTTTATAAATAATCCACCCTCTCCCCCCGCCTCAATTCACAGTTATTGTTGAAGTAGACAGAAGGATTAGCAAACATTTACCTGGTTTTATCATGTCTGTGTAAAAATGCATGGGCTGTGCTAATCCTGTTTAGGCTGAGTAGCTCAGCACAGTAGTTTGCTGTAAGAGACCACTCCACTGCATTTTATAACACACCTCTTACCTGTTCTCCTTCCAATCCCATTATCTTGGGAATGGACGGCCCACATATATCGATGTCTAGAAGAGCAACCTGGGGAACAAGAAGAGACCAGAGCTGTGACATGACTGAAAGTACAATCCTGCAGACACATAGTTGGGAGGGGAATCGGGTTAGAGGAAAAAGAGGGAGGGGAGAAGAGGAAAGAAAGTGGGTCAAACATGGACCAAGTAGAACCTCACGAGGAAGAGTTACAGCACTTATCTTCCAGCCACGGACACAGTCAAGACTCCCAAAGAGATCTTGGCAAAGTGCGTCAGCACGGACTCCCTCCCTCCCGCCCAGACTGACCTGGCTCGAGGTGCTCCTATGGACCTGGGTGTCAGGTCACGTGGAAATTCAGGCCTTGGCACTGTTTACTTGGCCCTGACCATGTGCCTGGGGGTGGGTATCATTATCTCTGCGTTCAGTGAGCCAGGACAGAGCTGGGACATAAATCAAGGTCTCTGACCCCCAAAGCCAGGGCTCTCTCCACTACCCCAGGGGGCCTGGCAAGGAGCTGAGCTCTGACCAAACCCCGTTGCCCTGTGATCCCGAAGGCTAGTGATAGCCTCGGCTCAGCTTCCAGAAAAGAAACTGAAAAGAAGAAGGAAAGCTAGAAAACCTCTTTGCTAGTGGTAAGCACAGCCGGGGATGACTCCTTCCACGCCAAACGCCCTGCTTTCCCTGAGGTGGATGAGGTGTGAACCGGCCTTCGGGAACTCTGAAAGGCGGCTAATATTCATCTGGAAACCTCTAATGTGCTGCATGCAAAGTGCAGCATCTCTGGGTAACTTTTTAACTTGCCCCAAATTCGCTTCTTGCTTCCTTCTTCAAGGCTCTCAACCAACACCAACCTCCTACTTCCTCACCTGCTCTCAGACCCTGGGTAGGAAAGCTTTTCATACAGATCAGCCGGTTACCCCAGGCGCCCTCTGCTGGGCTAAGCAAGGAGTGCAACAGAATGACACAACCTGACAACCCGACCTTGCCCGACTTTCTAGGTCCTGACACTTGGGGACTGATGTGTGTTCATGATCCACAGACATTTTACATCACAGCCTCACGCTTTAAGAAATCATAGTATCACCACCCCCTAATAGAGACTTGCATCAATTCTCTTCGGTTTCCAGCACAGTAGCCATGTTCTTCTGGGAACAATTTAATGTTTCCTTTTGAGGCACGAAACTCCCCACAACCAAGGGAGTGAATCATGAGTGCAATTACGCAAGGACGCAAGAACAGACTGCTTGCACTCACTCCCGTGGCAGGTCACGTCCATGCTGTCCAGATCTCCAGTGGTCCTGTGTCCTGTCCCTTCCAAACCTCCTGTCGATCCTGTCCTTATCCTCACTATCCTCAGTATCCATCTAATTCATTCACTTTCTGCTCAAGTTAAGCCACAAAACCCTCACTGAGAGAAACATGCCTGGTCATTCGCACCAGGGCCTCTGCGGAAGGTGCTGGAAGCCTGAGGGGAAGAGGAAGCTTTGCCACACCTCTCCCACCCACAAAGTGGTACAGTGGTCAGGATCCAAACTTCCCCCTAAGAGGTGGCCACTTGGGCCAGGGCTGTGCCCAGTGTGGGGGCTCCTTATGTCCGCGCTCTGTGCCACTGAGCCACAGGAGACAAGCGCCTTAAAGTCCCGTCTCAGCCCCCAGGCGCGGAGGCGGCCAGGCCGTCACGGTCGGGAGTGTGGAGCCGCTGGGGTGTTGGCAGTGGTGTGTGCGTCTAGGTGCTGCTTTACAAAGTGTACTGAAATGGCACTTCCGTTTCTCTGATGGTTCCTGGAAGCCACAGAATTTAGGGGCTTTAAGAAAAATAAAGGAAAATTAAACACACAAAAAAGAAGAGGTCATGGGAAGTGGGGTCTAGTCCTAACTTGGCACGGGCTGTCACCTCATACACATTGCTGCTCCTCTCCCAGCCCCGTCCGTCTGAGCTGCTGAGCTGTGAAACAAGTGTTTAGGGAGACTGTTAGGGCCCTTCTAGCTTTAGAGTCTACAAACCCCACCGATGGGCCTAAAAACTCAACAGGCCTAAAGCACCTAGCGTGGACCTTTTAATGGTCAAGTTCATCTTTTAGAGCACAAAGCAAGATGATGAAGTGGTGATTTAGGGAAGCTGGCGACTTGTGGTGGAAAGATAGCGTGAGAGCTTTTGATGTCAGGGGCTGGGCTCCTCCGCCTCCCTTCACCACAACTTGCACATTTCCCAGTCTGTGATTGGTCAGGAGCTTCCCAAGGCTGCTGCCTCCTGATGCAAAGCCCTTTGCAAACGAGTTGTCAGATACCTGCCTGCCTTGAGTGCAGACACGAACAGCCTTGCTCAGGGTTAGAAAAGGGACAGGGTGCTTCCCACCATCCTGCTGAATTCAGAGCAGGGAGGAATGTGTGAGCCTGGAGTGCAATCTTCGAGACACACTGAGCATCTATATATGCCCACACTGGGCACCTTTTGGAAAGTGACACTTTCCCAAGTACTGACGTTTTTAAAAAGCACTGCTGCATAAAGAAATTCAGCTCATCTAGCCCTATTTCCACACCGGATGGTGTGCTTTCCTTCAGTCTACTGCAAGGTCTAGACGTGTGTGCAGTGGGGCTTTCTGAACATAATTATATGGAAGCGTAATTCTATGTAAACAGCTGTTGATTCACAAGTGGTTACTTGCAGCTGGCCTGGCGAGAGCCCACCTCCAGAGAGCTGAGAAGAATATGCCCAACAGCTTCAAGAAGCCACGATTACTCTGGGTAACCTGGACCGTGAGAAAACAGATTTCTCGGCTAGCCAACTGGACCTACAAATTTGACCCTCAAATGGCAAGAGATTGGTGATGGAGAGAAGAACGAAATGACAAACATGTTTTGAATCTGCTCAGCACTGTTTGGGTAGGCTATAAATCATTATCACTGAAGCAAAAATTTCATCACCCCCCTATTTCAGTTAGTGGAATAAAGTAACAAAAATGATCGCTATCAAGGACACTTACTGAGCACTTACTATATGTCAGGTACCCTGTTAAGCACTTTACGTTTACATGTATCATCTCACTCAGCCTGCGTCCATTTTACCTACCCGAGGTCACAGCAGTGGTGTGGGTGGGGCTGGGTGACTCTAGGGCCTGTGCTCCTGTCCACCACGCTAGACTGCACCCCAAATGCTCAATTAGAGTTCCAACTCCTCTCTCCTCCAAAAGTTGGGAGGTTCTGCTCTATCTCCCCAACTTTGCCCTCATTTGTTCCCTGCCGTTGCTCCAATCCCTGCCCTAGTTTGGACCCTCGGGGCCTGTCCTGGAGACATGGCTTCGCCCTCTCACGGTACTCAACCACACACTCGCTGGCTGTCACGTGGTGCTCCTAAAGCACAGGTCTGGCTCAGCCTCAGCCTTGGCCCCTTCCCAGGAGCAGTCCCCCAGACGGCCTGCCTCTCCGTGTCTGGCCCGGCAGTCCCACCTCTGTGCCTTGGTTCCCCTTCCCCCATCCATCAGTCGCCATCACAGTCCTGATGCCACCTTCTCCAAGCCCAGTCGTCTCTCCTTTTCCCCAAATCCCTACAGAACATCTTGATGGCAGACACCAGATTCTAGAGAAGCCCACGTCAGCCACGTACAGCCAGTGACAGCAGCTCCATGGGTTATAAAATGATCGGAACAGAAATGAGGGATAAGGCAGAATTCAGAGCCCTAATGCCTGACAGGAACACGGAGCTTCACAGATCACGTAGTCCAGCCACTTCACTGTCCCAGGAAGGCTGTGCCCTGCCCAAGGTTCCAGTCCTGCAAAGAAGTTCTTCCCCAGCCAGCACAGGTGCTTCTGGTGTTAAAAAACAAACCAGGGCCCAGCAAACTACACCCTGGGGCCAAATCCAGCCTGCCACCTGTTTTTGTACCGCCCACAAGCTAAAAGTGGTTGTTATATTTTTAGAGGTCTGGAAAAATAAAAATAAAAAGAATACTTTTGTCATGTTGTAACAATTATGTGAAATTCAACTTTCAGTAACAATAAAGTTTTATTAGAACACAGACATGCTTGTGGTGTATAGGTTGTTTAAGGGCAGACTGGATAGTTGCTACAGAAATTGTATGGCTGGCAAAGCCTAAAATATTTGCCATCTGGCTCTTGACATGAAATGTTTGCCAACTCCTGAAGCAAACTCTAATTTTGTAATCCAATGACTTAAAAAATATATTTCTGGAGTTCTTAGATACTGGTGAGGTGTCTTGGGGACCACTGCGTGTGTGTACGTGTTTGTATGTTGAGGGCATATCAGAATGGTGGCTTGATCCCCTTGCCCACTGTAGCTGGCTTTATTGTTTTTAGTTTATATTTGTGGAGGAAATAAAGCCTTTATCATAGTAAGGTCTTAGGGTGCTATTGCTCACTGAGGTAGAATGGATTATCACTCACAAATAGAAAGTACTGAAATTTATCCAGCTTTTAGAGTTTTAAAATATAATAGGCAACATGTGGCAGTTTTGAAATGTCAATAATAAATATACCTCTGCAGTCCCTCTAGAACAGTGGTTCTCAACCTTGGCTGCACATTAGAATCACCTGGGAATCTTTTTAAAATCCTGATTTCTGGGCCTCATCCTCCACAAATTCTGTTTCTTTGTTACTAATGTTGTGGCCCCACCCCATAACAAAGAAACAGAATTTCCGGAGGATGAGGCCCAGAAATCAGGATTTTAAAAAGATTCTCAGGTGATTCTAATGTGCAGCCAAGGTTGAGAACCACTGCTCTAGAACTATCTTACTTTCTAAAAAAGTCAAACAAAAGTAAAGGGCCATTTGTCAACAAGTAAGAAAAGAAAGTTGAAGTGAAAGTGTTAGCCCTCGTATATAAAAATAACTTTCAATATTCAAAATGTTAGAAAAGTAATGTTCAGAAATAAAACAATGCATAAAACAATGCATGAACGAAGGTACACACAGAGACCATGGAAAGAACTGTAATGGCTTTCAACACAAACAAAATAAGATTGTTTCTACATTACACCGAGCTCTTCTGCAGGCCCCAGAAAGTGCTCTGATGGAGAAAACAGCATTTAGTTGGCAACTGAAATAGTGACTAGCAAGTTCTCTAACCCAGAGCACACACAGTGCCAATTCACAAGTTCTCACGAGGTCTCTCATTTCAGGGGTCAACACAACGGAGGCTGGGTTTTAGCGACACCCATGCCACTCTACAGTTCTGGGGTGTCCAGGTTTCTTTCATTGGAATTTTGGGCAAAATTTCATTTTGGAAACAACAGGTCATTTTAGAATGTGACCTGTGTTAAAACAAAACAAAACTGAAAAACACAATTGTCATGGTTTTATTAGATATAAAATGATAAAGTGAATATTGGGATCATTTTCTAAGGTCAATGCAAAATTACCATGAGTCCCAATGAATAATGTATTTTAAAAATCACAGGTACTGCAAATTTCCATTTGACCTTTTGGGAAAAAGTATTTTTTTAAGGCTGAAATCCAGAGAGCAGCACTGGGTACTTTGAGTTTTCCTGCTCATTTGTGTACCTGGGCATGTTTGTGGCCCAGTACAGGGGTCAGCAAGTTTTTTGGGGTTTTTTTGAGGTTTGATGAATTTTTTATTGTTTTGTGAAATATATACAGCACACCAAGTGTTTTCTTCAAGGGCCAGACAGAAAACATTTTAAGCTCTGTGGGCAAAATTACAGATATTATGTAGGCACTTATGTAACAACTAGAGGCCCAGTACACGAATTCATGCACGGGTAGGGTTCCTTGGCCTGGCCGGCAATCAGGGCCATCGGGGCAGCTGGCCAGAGGGAGGGACCACGGGAGGTTGCTGTGGGAGCGCACTGACCACCAGGGGGCAGCTCCTGCAGAGTGTCTGCCCCCTGGTGGTCAGTGCATGTCATAGCGACTGGTCGACCGGTTGTTCGGTCAACCGGTTGTAAAGGTCGCTTAAGCTTTTATATATATAGATTTAAAAGCAACCATTTAAAAACAAACAGCTCTGGCCAGGTGGTTCAGTTGATTGGAGCATCGTCTGGTACTCCAATGTGGGTTCAGTTCCCAGTCAGGGCACATACCTAGGTCGTGGGTTCAATCTCTAGTTGGGGCGTGCTGATGTTTCTCTCTCACATTGATATTTTTCTCTTTCTCTATTTTTCTCTCTCTCTAAAAATCAAGAAAAACAACAACAACATATCCTTAGGTGAGGATTAAAAAGTAATAATAAAAACAAGCAAAAATAAACCCCAAATAACAAAAATAATAACAATAATAAGAAAAGCAACCATTTATAAATGTAAAAATCATTCTTAACTCACAGGCCATAAAAAGACAAGAGATGGGCTCGTTTTGGCCATGAGCTATAGTTTGTAGACCCCTGGCCTAGAAAAAGGCAGAAAGGGGCTAATCATGAGAAGGAAATCTGAACTTGATGTAATAAATAACCAGCATGCCAAGAGAAATGTACACCTGCTATCCATCTTCACTACTAGAGCATCCAATGAAAGCTTTCATTGCTTGTCTGCTACGTGTTTCCTCATCTTCTCTGCAGGGATCAAAGAGGCCAGTTTGGCTTAGTCTAAGGAACCAGTTCTCCACAAGCCATCATGAACCCTCAGACAGGAGCCTCTCCCCAGTGTTCCCCTACCTGCGTGTTTTCATCCTCCGCTAGGGCGTGAGCAAGGTGGGCGCTGAACGTGCTTTTCCCAACGCCGCCTTTCCCAGACAACACCAAGATTTTGTGTTTCACGGTCTTCATTTTCTCTTTGATTTCCTCTATGGCTGCAAAGAAAGCAATTCAGGGGATGACATCCTCCAACTAAATCCCAAATGTCACTCTTCCAATGGGCTGGAAGGGATTGTGTGTGAAATACCACCTAGTCCAGTGCTGGCGAACCTATGACACGCGTGTCAGAGGTGACAAGCGAACTCATTTTTTTGGTTGATTTTTCTTTGTTCAATGGCATTTAAATATATAAAATAAATATCAAAAATATAAATCTTTGTTTTACTATGGTTGCAAATATCAAAAAATTTCTATATGTGACACGGCACCAGAGTTAAGTTAGGGTTTTTCAAAATGCTGACACGCCGAGCTCAAAAGGTTCGCCATCACTGACCTAGTCGATGGTAGTAATAAGTGCTATAAAGAAAACAGGGCTATTATCACACCTGACATTTTCTTATTGATTTATTTGTCATCCCTTACTAGAATATAAGCTCCACAAGGGTGAGACTCTGTCCTAAAGCGTTCACCACCTTATTCCCAGCTCCATTACAGAGCTATGAATATACAGTCATACATCACTTAACAACAGGGATACATTCTGAGAAACGTGTCATTAGGCAATTTTGTCCTAAAAAGCACTCACACAACCTAGATGGCCAAGCCTATTATACACCTAGGCTATACGATATGGCCCACTGCTCCTAGGTTACAACTACACAGCATGCTACTGTATGAAACAGCACGAGATTAAATCAGGCACAAGAGAAGATGATGTAATCGAAAGATAAACATGAGATGTATGAGGCAGCTGTCAGTATAACACAGCATACTGTTTTACAGCAAACTCTATTAAGTAGAAAGAGTACATTTAAAATAATGATAAGTATAATATACAATAGTAAATATATAAGCCAATTAACATAATAGTTTATTATCAAGTATTATGTGCTGTATATAATTATATGTGCTGTACTTTTATATGACATAGGTTTATTCACACCGACATCACCACAAACATCTGAGGAATGCTTTGCACTATAAAGTTAGGACAGACCCGTCACTAGCTGATAGGAATTTTTCAGCTCCCTTAAAATCTCATGGGACCACTGTCACCTATACAGTCTATCGCTGATCTAAATATTATTATTTGGTGCATGAGTGTAGTAATGATTCTCAAACTGGGGGCAAAATCTGCCAGGGGACATCTGGCAATGTTTGAGGACATTTTTAGTTGTCACAAGGAAGGGGTGCTCCTGGCATGTAGTAGGTAGAGGCCAGGGATGCTGCTAAATGTCCGACAATGCCGAGGACAGCCCTCAGCACACGGAACTGTCAGCTCCAAAAGTCAGTAATGCCCAGGATGAGAAACCTGACAAACAGCAGGCACTTGGTAAGTACCCGTCACTGATGACTGTCACTGATTAGACATTTGCTGTGCTTTTCAGGACTTCACCTTCTTTCAAGCCCTTCAAACAACACTGCGAGGTAACTAATTTTCTCCCCCATTACTGACAAGGAAATAGAGGCTCAGAAAAAAAAGGTTAAGACTCTTGCTCAAGGTCAATACTGTTTTTGAGGGAACTACAGATCAAACCCAAGTCTCTCTTTGACTCCTTCAAAATTCTTCTCCCAGCTTCCTGCCTTTTATGTTCCAGAGTCCTCCCCACTCTCCAATGTGACCCCCTGGTGCTTATTGCTGTGACTTATTGCTTGCTTGCTTGTTTACTGTGGGTCTCCCCTACTAAACTCAAATCCCCTAGAGCAGCCACCTCTCTCTTTCACAGCTATATCCCCAGCACCAGCACTGTGCCTAGGAGGCGATTAACACATATTTCTGTTGAATGAATGGAAGAATCGCTCCTCAAAAGGAAGAAATTCTGTCCAAAGAAAGTAGCTGAGGACGCCAGGATGTAAGCCCAAGCTCCCTGACTTCAAAGTTTATAGCCTATCCCAGTGGTCGGCAACAAACCACGGCTCGAGAGCCACATGCGGCTCTTTGGCCCCTTGAGTGTGGCTCTTCCACAAAATACTATGTGCGGGCGCGCACGTACAGTGCGATTGAAACTTCGTGGCCCGTGCGCAGAAGTCGGTTTTCGGCCTGGGCGAGTCTATTTTGAAGAAGTGGCGTTAGAAGAAGTGGGGGTATGTTCGCTGAGGTCGACCCCTCAGATTGAGGACGTTTTTAGCAAAGGCCAGCTTAGGAGTACCCTAATTAAGTTAATAACAATGTACCTACCTATATAGTTTAAGTTTAAAAACTTTGGCTCTCAAAAGAAATTTCAATCGTTGTACTGTTGATATTTGGCTCTGTTGACTAATGAGTTTGCCGACCACTGGCCTATCCCATCGCTGGTGGCCTCCTCCAGACCAGTCACTGTCCCTCAAACTTCTGGCCACACCCCTCAACCCAGCCAACTTCTCCCGTGCCCCGCCCTTAAGACTCCTTTTGACTTCAAGCAAGTCACCGATCCTAGAGGCTCCACTGCAGCCGGCCACGCTCCTCGTTCCTCGCCTTTTAAAGGCCCTGCCCCTCGGGCCCCGCCTCTGTCATTCATTCCTCAAGTCCCGCCCCTCGTCGCCTCCCCTCCCCCCCACCGACTTCACCACCAAGCCCCGCCTCCTCCAGCCCCGTACCTGCAACGCATCATTTAAGCCACGCCCACCGTCCCCGCCCAGGTTCGCCATAAGCCCCGCCTCTTCCGGCTCACGCCTTTTACGTCCCGTGCAGAGCTTGCCCGTTCCTTACCTGGGTCCGGACCCTCGCCGGCGCCTGAAGCGCACAGCCGCTGGTTGGGGCACCCCTGACAGGCGGTCCCTCGGCCGGCCTGGGCGCTGCCAGTTCCGGGGCAGTCTGCGCGGAGACAGAATCACAGTTAGAGCGGCTCCTGTCTTCCAGCCCCGCCACCCACGCCCCTCCCGCGCGCTCACTGTGAGGCGTCTCCTCCATTTTGCCGCCTTAGTCGCCGGAACCTGCGCGGCACCGGAACCCCCATTGCGTATTTCCGGCTCGTGGCACTCAATCTGACCCTCCCGCTGCGTCGGGAAGAGAGCAGTGCGCACGCGCGAACCTTGTGCGGGGAGCCTAGGGCTGTTTTATTATTACTCTCCGCATTGAAACTGCTGCAAATATCAAATACTTACGCATGTATCTCCTAGGAATAAAGGCGTTATCTTACATGACCTCCACACCATCTTGATAACCAAGAAACTTACCATTGGTGCAAAATTATTAGCCAATGTGTCTTTAGTCTCTTTTAATCCAGTACAGCCCTCCTCCCTGCCCCTTCCCTCCCCTGGCTACGTGTTTTGTCTTTGTGAGGTTAATAAATTTGAATAGTTCAGGCCAATGGTTTTATAGGATATCCCATAATCTTTGTTTGATTGCCCCACCCCTCGTGATCAGATTCAGGTTGAAAGTTTTTGGCAGAAGACGAATGTCATGCACTACTAGTATCACAGCAGGAGGGACATATCCCAATTGGTCCCATTGTTGGCATAAAAAAGTAAATTTTAAAAATCTTACTGGCTTTGTCAACCAATGGTCTTTGGCACCAACTCAACACCAACAGGAATCCCCAGTTTGGGGGTGTGGTGAAGAAGCAAACTTTATTCAGTGCAAAACAGCTCAATTGCAATACAAAGCAGGGCTTTGAAAGCAGCACACAGGTCCCTCTCTGATAGAGAGCTCTGCTCTGCTCCTCAGGGGTCTGTTTTGTGCTGTGCAGTCAGCTCTGGCCTTCGCCAGTCTGCCATGCTGCAGTGAGAGACATCTTCAGTGTTTCAGCTCCACAGGGGAAATGCAATCCTCAGTCTCAGGTGAAAAAGAAAAGTGTGCTTCCAGAATCATAGGGGAGCTGGCTTATATAGACAGAAGTCCCCACCTCTGCTCCCTGACTGGTCAGTCCTCTGCAAATAAAGCTTCACAGTTTGATTAGTCAGAATAGAGCCACTCTGATTGGTTGGAGCTCTCAGCTCTGATGGGATGAAGAAAGCCTCAGTTCTATTGGTCCTTTATATGGGCTGACTCAGAGGGCAGAAACACAATGCAGGCAGGCAAGCCAGTGCAGAGGCAGGTAGATCAGTGCAGGCTTCTCCCAGAAGTGCAGTTTGTGTTAGAGACCCCTGTGCAGAAATGGCTGGGGTTTTTTGTTTGTTTGGTTGGTTGGTTGGTTTTTTTTGGGGGGGGGGCTCTGTTTCTTAAAATTACAGCCCATGTAGCCCTTTCCAGCCCTTCTTAGTGGGTGGCCTCGTTCTCATGGGTCACACCTTTATCCAACTTTTTACTAATCAGACAGCATCCCATCGAGCAGACAGAAAGGAGGTCTGAGGAGCTGTATAAAACGACTTACAGACTCACATGGTGGGGATGGGTGAGGTGGGTGAGGTGGGTGAGGGTAGGTTACATAGGAGTTTATGGAGCTCGTGCTCTGAAGTCAGATGACTCGTGTTTAAATTTTGACTCCAACCAACCCTTATAAGCTGAAAACACCGGGCAAGACCCTTCATGTCCCCAGCCTCTTTTTGCTGTAAAATGGGATGATGAAAACATTTGCCCTGTGAAGTTGCTGTGGAGATAAAATAATTTAACTCATGCAAAACACCAAGCACAGAACATCCAGAGAACAAAGCTCCAATACAGGCATAGCTCGGAGATACTGTAGGTTCAGTTCCAGAACACCATAATAAAGCGAGTATCACAATAAAATGACTCGTAATCTTGTTTGCCTTCAATCTGTGAAAAACGAAACACCCGTGAAGCGCAATAAAGCGAAGAGCAATAAAACAAAGGTCTGCCGGTACAGTTTGTAGGGTTGTAGTGACAGTTGCAGAAATGATTTCCTGCACTCTTATTTACAGATGGCGGGACTGAGCCTACCCAGGGAAAGTTGCCCCAGATCACGTGGCAGGTTAGTGGAGGAAACAAGACTAGCACCTGGGGCAAACTAGTTAAAAATGTAGATGCTGATTAACACAGGTGGTGAAAACTAAGTGCACAGGAGGGCTCTGTGGCTTTTGTTTCACCACTAGATGGCGCCCTTCCCCTATCTATGAGGAAAGTAGTCAGGAAATGGGAAGAAAAAAAATTAGAGCCCTTGCTGGTTTGGCTCAGTGGATAGTGTTGGCCTGTGAGCTGAAGGCTCCTGGGTTTGATTCTGGTCAAGGGCACATGTCTGGGTTTTGGGCTTGATCCCCAGTGCGGGGCGTGCAGAAGGCAGCCAATCAATGATTCTCTCTCATCATTGATGTTTCTATCTCTCCCTCTCCCCTTCTGAAATCAACAAAAAAAATTAGACAATTTTCTACCTCTTCCCTTATCCAGCAAAAATATCTAACAAAGGGCTATATATCCGCAGGTACTTAGTATATAATTGAGATGGAAAATGAGGTTCCATTTTATTATTAAACTAGAGGCGTGGTGCACGAATTCGTGCACAAGTGGGGTCCCTCGAACTGGCCTGAGGGATCGGGCTGAAACCGGCTCACTGACATCCCCCAAGATTGCGAGAGGGCACAGGCCAGGCTGAAGGACCACACTGGTGCACGATCGGGGCCAGGGAGGGACCGCAGGAGGGCTCCAAGGCATGTCTGGCCCATCTCGCTCAGTCCCAATCTGCCAAACCCCAGCAGCAAGCTAACCTACCAGTCAGTGCATTTGCCCCCTGGTGGTCAGTGCATGTCATAGCGACTGGTCGACTGGTCAACTGTCTGCCCCCTGGTGGTCAGTGGGTGTCATAGCGAGTGGTTGAGCAGCCTTAGCATATCATTAGCATATTATGCTTTGATTGGTTGGATGGCCAACTGCATGACTGGACACTTAGCATATTAGGCTTTTATTATATAGGACTAGAGGCCCCGTGCCATGGGTAGGGTCCCTAGGCCTGGCTGACAATCAGGGCTGATTGGGGTCCTGATCTTCCCTGGCTGCCAGCTGCTAGCCAGGGCCTTCGTTCCATGCCGCCCCCTAGTGGTCAGCACATTTCATAGCAAGTGATTGAGCTCACAGTCTCCTGGTCAAACTCCCAAGGGGACACTTTACATATTAGCCTTTTATATATATAGATGGAGAAACCAACATCTGTTGGTTAAGAACACAGATTCTTGAATGCCAGCTGTCTGCGTTCAAGTCCCAGATCCCCATTCACCAGATTTCCATCTCTTCTTCGTGCCTCAGTTTCCTCCATTGTAAAATGGCAATAATAATATTAACTACCTCAAAGGGTTATTGATGGGAGGATTAAATAAGTTAACATGAGGAACACAGTTTTTAAAAAGGGCACATTTGAGCTTTCATGTGCTTGCAGTGATTAGTTCTTAAGAAGCTTTACTAAAACCATCACAATTGAGACAGTGAACACATGTGTCATCTACCAAAGTTTCCTGACCTTTTGCAAACCTTCTCCTGACCCCATTCCAGGCAATCACTGATCTGTTTATTGTCTCTATAGATTAGCCTGGGTTTTCTAGAATTTTATACAAATGGAATCTTGTATATGCTCTTTCTGATCTGGCTTCTTTCACTCAGCATGTTTATTTTAGATTCATCCGTGTTGTTGTGTGTGTGAAGTTCATTTCTCCTGGTTGCTATGTAGTATTTCATTGTCAGATTACACCGTAACTTGTTTATACATTCACCTGTGGATGGATATTTGGATTGCTTCCAGTTTGGGCAGGTTACTAATAAAGTTGCTAGGAACATTGTTGTGAAAGTCTTGGTAATGACATATACTTTCTTTTCTCTGGAGTAAACATTTTAAGAGTGGAATGGTACAATGGTAGGAAACTGCCAAACTGTTTGCCAAAGGGGTTGTACAATCTCACCCGCAGTGGGTATGGCCAGTCTTTTGGTTTTTTGACCCTTTAATAGGTGCGTAGTGATATCTTATTGTGGTTTTAATTTGCATTTCTCTAGTGAATAATAGGTGAATGCTAGGTGTCTGCGTTCAAGTCCCAGATCCCCATTCACTAGCTTTCCATGTGTTCATTCATCAGCATGTCTTCTTTGCTGAAGGTCTCTTCAAATCTGAAGCCCATCAAAAAACATTTTTAGTTGTTTTATTATTGAGTTTTGAAAATATTATTTATTTTCTGGATACAACTCCTCGATCAGTTATATATTTAGCAAATATGTTCTTCTAGTCTATGGCTTGTCTTTTCATTCTCTTAAAAATGTGTTTTGAAGAGCTATTCTTTGATGAGGTCCAGTTTATCAATTTTTAAAAATGTATTGTGTGTTTGACATCATATCTAAATCTTTGCTGAACACAAAGAAATCTTTGCCGAACAAAGATTTCCTTCTATTTTTCCTTCTAGAATGTTTATAATTTAGACTTACATTTAGGTCTATGACCCATTTGGAGTTAATTTTTTGTATGTAATTTTTTTATACAATGCAAGGTATGGGTTGAAATTAATTTTTTACACATGGATATCCAATTGTCCCAGCACCTTTTGTTGAAAAGACATCCTTTCTCCATAGAATTAACTTTGTACCTTTGCTGAAAATCTATTGACCATGAACATATTTTATTTCTGGATTTTTATTCTGTTCCATTGATCATTGTTTATCCTTATGCCAATACTATGCTGTAGCTTTAGAATAAGTCTTGAAATCAGAAAGTCTAAATCCTACAACTTTATTTTCCTTTTCAAAGTTGTTTTTGGCTATTCCAGGCCCTTTTGGATTTTAGAGTTGGTTTATTAATTTCTACCAAAAAAAAAAAAAGTGCCTGCTGGGATTTTGATTAAGTTTGCCCTGAATCTAAACTTTGATTAGAGAAGAAGTGACATCTTAAAAATATTGAGTTTTCCAGTTCACACACATGACATATCTCTCTATTTAGGTCCTTTTGAGGCAGGATAGTAAGAAGCCAGGAAAATTCCTTGGCAAGAGAAATGGGGAAACTGAGTCAGATTCACATTGGCCTCATCCAGTACCCCACCTCACCTGCCTCCTTCTCCCTTGCATTGCTACTTCCTTAAGCCCTCAGGACAAT